GACGCCGACGACTGTTAATCGAGAGGAGGTGTGTGCGTTGTGTGTGTGTCTGTACATGTGAGAGAGAGAAGGTGAGGTGTACGTGTAGAGAGAGAAGATGATGTGGGTAGGTGAGAGAGGGGGTAGTTGGCACATTTAATTATTAATATGGAGTGGGGTCCATAATTACTACAATACCCTTAATGAAATTATAATTTTGACTTTTTTTTAGCATTAGATCATTCGATCTAATGGCTACGATTTATTCTCATTTCTTTCATCATGTGAACCCAACCCTATATATATATATATATATATATATATATATATATAGACGTACTGCATTATCATTTTGTTTATTCTGTCTCATTTATAACATGATTAATTACCTACAGTTTTAAGAAGCCACGTCTTAACTACTAGATTTAACAAACTAATGGCTGCGAAGTAAATTAATTACCACCACAGAAAGAAGTAAATTAATTACCACCACAGAAAGAGAAGAAACATTTCCTTCATATTAGTAAAATATTATTAATTGGCAAAGAAAACGATTGCGAGTAGTATAAAAACGCTCACCGTCTCCCTCTCTTTTCTCTTCCCTAAATACTAATTAATCCGAGTATGATTCAAATATATGAGATGCAATGTAAAAAAAATTGCATTTTTTATTGGTGTGTATTATATGTAGTATAAGGTGAGTGATCAAAGCCAGAGGGCCCCAGCCCTTTTGAGCATGGGCCTGAGAGCCCCTTGGAGGTGGAGGCTCATGACCTCGTTTGCCCCTCCCACCAGCTCACCCCCAATGTACACTGCCGGCACCGTGGGATTGCATCCGAGCCTCGATAGGGCCTGCTCGATTTCACGGCCCCTACAAATCTCGTCGACCTCATACACCGTCGGGTTTACCCCAAAATCCGAGAAGAGGGACCTAACTGTGTGGCTTATGCAGCACGAGCTCTTGCTGAAGATAACCACCGGCTTCTCAGAGACCATCTTGCTAACCTTGTCCATTTTGGTGTAATGAAATTTAATGATGTGATGTAAATACAAGGAAAAGTACTTGTGTTTTGATGATTGCTAATTGGACGTTGTTGGTAATTTTGTGGTACGAGGAGAATTGAGAGTGCAAGCCAAGCATTTATATATGTAGGAAGGACAATGCACATTGTGTGTGAGGGAGGGTAGAATTGGAATTAATTCAATTTAGATTATCTTCTTATTTTGTTTGATACTATCGTGAGAGTGACTGATATTGGTATGCTTCATCGAGAATAAAGTATATAAAAAGGTCACACTCCATACGCAGAAATTATGACGTGCCTGTGAAATTTTTATTCTATGATGGTCTCATGCATGATGATAATAAAGAGTGGAAAATGCTAAGGTTCTGTTACGGAATCATTCCGTCAGAATTTGTAATCGGTAGATTATTATGTAACCGTCAGAGATAGTTTATCTAACGGTTACAACCTCCAACAAAATGACTCCGTAACGGGATCGTAGTATCTTCGAGTACCTTAAACTTGAAATTTAATTTTTAGATTATATTAATCAGTCAGTCAATGTACTTGATCACGAGTGAGATTAGATATGGTGCAAATAATAAAGTCATGCGCCTTTTACACATGTATATATATGGTTATCAAATGATTAACGTTTTTGTCTTATAACAAAAAGGTAAGTATTCTTGTTAATGGTTTTAAGTGGTCCAATGGAGTTGGGCTTAGCGGCATCTCGTGAGTTGTAGAAGGAATTGGAGTTGGATATATCTATCCATTAGGAACCTATTATTTGGGCCCCAAAAACACAAGATTCGCAGTCTTTTGTTATTGGATGCCAAAAGGCATATATACTTATCTTTTGGAAAAATAAAAATAAACTCTCATGGGACATCTAAAATCTTGTGTCTAATTTTAAATATTTTACCAAGGTATTTTTTACAATAGCAAAAGTTCAATTTTTATAGCATATTTTTTATATAGCAAAATATTTGATTGACACCTACGTTATTCGAACCTACATTGTGATCTGCACTAAATCTGATATCAATTTATGTGTGCTACACGTCTCTAGTTATCCAATAGAGTTATCTCAAAGACAAATACAATTAAAATTGATAATGAGACTAGTAGAATTTTCAATCCATTCGAAATTCAAACTGAATTTGCTCCAAAACGAAAAAAAAATTGATATCAATTTATGTGTTCTACACGTCTCTGGTTATCCAATGGAGTTATCTCAAAGGCAGCCACATTTAGAATTGAGAATGAGACTCGTAGAATTTTCAATCCATTCGAAATTTAAATTGAATTTTCTTTGAAACGAAAAATAAATGTTGACCATGTGGCTTTCTGAACTAAACCGAAATGAGCCGAACCAAAAAAAAAATAAAAATTGATTAGTACAGGTTTAAAGATTTCACAAACATTTGTACCGAGTATCGAACAGAACCATTTCATATCGTAGCAACCTGAAATTAAAAACTAAATTATAATATTAGATGTGTCTTGTTCATAGATTATGTCAACTTTAATTATAGACGATTTGAGTGTTTTTAAAATACTTAATAAGATATAGTAATAGCAATTAAGCTTCACATAAATTTTATACTTAATAATACTTGATCTATAGTTAATTGAAAAATATAATTATATTATACTAATTGATACTTTTCTTCGACTTATTCCAACTTATAATTCAAATGTTATACAAATTAAAAAAAATGCTTAAAAATTAATAATATTATTTATTATGTGGATATCAATTTTTCATTATTAGTTGCGCGAATTTAGTCTTATCCGAAATTTTTAGGCATTTCTATATTGTTTAAAGTTGATTTTGAAAAAAAAAATAAAAAATATTTAATATGGTTAAGCAGTGATGTGATTTGAGATATCATGCCTAAGGAAGTAAACCGGTTGACCAAGCGAGCTAACCGTCTGGTCGATCAAAATTGACGCAGAGTTGGTGGTAGTCGAGCGTCACCAATACAGGATTAAGAGCCTTCTGTCTCGAAGACAGCATAAGGGGTTCGGAACACGGAGAATGGGTCGAGCTAGGGTCCTTGGACGACCTGGTAGAAACTCGACCTACATGCACATGTGGTCTTGCGATCGATTAGAAAAGATAACACTCGGACTTGAAACACTTTGCGCTTCACCTCAATCAACCTAAAGCTAGTCGTACCATTAAGCGGCCTAATATGAAAGACTAAGAGATAAGAAGGAATCTTAGGGAAATTAAACCCCCCACATGGGCAAAACCACGTGGCACTACCTGATTGGTCAGTGCCTCATAACCGTATCTGACACACTGTGCAATGTAGGTTTTACGATCGGGTAACAAGTTCACCACATACCCATTTAAGCATCGAGGGTTTTTCACTGAAAAACCCCTCCGGTGTGTGAGTTTTTGCAGGGCAGAAGACATTCAACTAGCACAGTGTAGGGATGAGACGTGTGATTTTGATCATTATGTGATACATACTCTACATTTCTACAATTCATCTTCTACACATACTTATTTAAACATTGGGGACTCTTCATTGTAAAACCCCTCCGATGTAAGAGTTTTTCAGGTCAAAGCGCGTTCAACCAGCAGAGAAGCTCATCAGCATGCCAATCTTAGCCGACCGAGAGTTCTTACATACCATGTGGCGTCGTCTGTGGACTTCGTTAAAAAAATCGTGTGTTCAACATAGCCATGGCAGACGAAATTCTGAGAATAAGTTTAGAGACAACATTCGAGATGCGTGGACAACCACGCAACCGTACGGAGGTGGCCCTCCACCGAGCTTCTCCAGACCTTTGGCGGGAAGTCCCTGCAATAGTGGCAGATTTGAGTCGAGTGCTGGAAGCTCGGGCACTCCAAGGGATGGTGGTTCATACGCAACAGTAGCTAGATCCGGCCAGTGCACAACCAAGAGGACATGTGGTGCAGGTGATGGGACCACCAAGTATAAACGTGGAGCAGGCTAGTCAACTGCTAGTGACAATTACCAGAGAAGAGACGGAGAGGATGATCGCTAACGCGGTCAAAGCAGGGGCGGTGCATCAAACCACTCACCATGCATCGCATGCCACCACTGCGTCAACCACGATGGTGGGTGCACATCAGCAAAACACTAATAACCAATTACAAGCCAAGGTTAATGGCAGACTAGTGGGCTGAGCTTGAGGATATCCCTTCTCGAAGGAAATTTTGAAGGCAGTACTACCAACCAACGTTTGGGAGACAAGTTTGATGCATGACAGGTCAACCGACACATCAAGGAATGTAAGGTCGTTTGCATATATGGTTGTATAACACGGGTACTCTGACCCGGTGAGCTGTAGAGCATTATTTTCGACCTTGAGGGGACGAGATCTAGATTGGTTTCACCAACTCCTCCTAGGGTCGGTGAAGAATTTTGAGGACTATTCAGAGATGTAGATCAACCCTTTAGGGTCAGCGTCCATAGAGTTGGCACAGTATGTGGTGCTGTAGCTTAAAAGATATCTTATCTCACTCTGATGGCGATGAGGCAAGAAGAGGGCGAATCGTTTAGGAAGTATATTGTTTGATACAAACAAGCATGTATAGAAATCCCATCAGCCTCAAATGAGGTCAAGGCCGGCGGTCTGATAAGAAGCTTACGTGTTGGTCCTTGTTATTGATCTCTGGCCAAGACGTCAGCTCGCACTTACGACGAGGTGCTGAAATGATGCAAAAAGTATGTCAACCCTGAAGAGACGGAGAAAGAGTTACCAAGTTGTAGCAGCTGGCTCGACCCGAGACAAAAAAAAGGGTCAACTAACCCAGGAGGGACAAAGCTGAAAAGACGTAGGGAGGATCATTGGAAGGATCAACCTCTGCAGGGCGGTCAAAGAAATACCAAATACACCCCACTGAAGAAGAAGAAGACTGAGGTGCTCTAAACAATTGAAAGAAATTTTAATGGTTCGAGATGTGACGTGGACAAAATCGAGGAGAGAGCAGCCCACTTAATCAAAGTCTAGACAATATTGCTTATTCCACAAGGATTATGGTCATACCACAAAAAACTGCAGGCATTTAAAGGATGAGATTGAGCGCTTGGTTTGGGATGGACACTTGAAGTAAATTGTGTATCATGATAGGCTGGGTAGAATGGTAAAAAGAAGGTGTATGGAGGACTCCAGTCGAAAAGAGTGATAAAGATGAGGATGAAAATAGAGAGGAGAATTAAGAGCGATGTGGTTGCGGTGGGAACAGAGGTAAGAGAAAGAGAGAGGATGGAGGTCAAGGGGACCAAGAAGACGTGGTCCCAGTGACGAGGGACACGATTTATATGATCTTTGGAGGAATGACTGATTGTGACTCCAACAATGCCAAGGAGCATGTTCGTGAAGCCAAGAAGAATAGGGGTGCTGGAATTACGACTCGGATGCCTGTGATAAGCTTTCGAGCTGAGGATGCCGAAGGGATTCTTGTGCCCCACAATGATGCTTTGGTCATAACAACTGAGGTTGCAGGGTATAATCTCAAACGAGTGTTTATTGACACAGGCATCTTACTCAATGTTATGTTTTATGATTATTTCAGGTAGTTGGATATAAATTTGGAGTTGAAGAAGGTGGTGACGTCACTATATGGGTTCAATGGAAGCGAGGTGGTTCCTATTGGGGAGATCACTCTACCAGTCGGCCTTGGGTAAGGGGCAACCCTTAAGGTCAAAATGGTGTAGTTTTTGGTTGTCGGTGTTGAGTCGTCATACAACATTATTTTTGGAAGGACCAACTTGAATGCTTTTCAGGCTATAGTTGCGACCTACCATATGATAGTTAAGTATCTGGTTAGAGAAAATGTGAGGAAGATCGCTGATGAACAATTGACCTCAAGGATATGTTATGAGACCAATATGGGCAATAATCTACAGATGGCCAAGAGAGCAAGCATGCCGAAGATACAGGTGTTAGATTGACCAAGTGGGTCTAGGTCAAATGAGGAGAGATCAGAGCTCGATGAGTTAAAGGAAAAGGCAGACATTCGGC